CTTTATTTATTGTTAATAAATAAAATGAAATTATTTCTGTTAATGTTTTTGATTTGCCGTATAATATTATTTTTCTCAGCAAAAGTTTAATTTGTTTTTAAACTTATTGAAAAAATGTTTTTAATATATTTTTATGATTTGTTTATTTAATTATTATTATTATTTTTTTATTTAACTTTTATTATCTTATTATTTATTTTTATTCAAAATTATTTATGTGTATTATTATATTTTATTGATTCAATAATTTATGCAAAGTTTTATACGTTACGTCAGAAACTTGCGTTACGTTAGCGAGTAATTGCACAACTTTTCTGACCCAGCAGCTGATCGATAGTCGATATGGTAAGCACAACAGACGGATCGATCTGGCACAATAAACATATGTCAAAAAGATTGTTTATTACAAATGGCACAAATGACGAATGCGACAAATGTAACACAAAACAAAATGAAATAAATGCCAAAAAAATGATGGAGAATATGAAAGTGATTGTGGTGTTTTATAATGGTGTTAGTGTATGTGTTTTTGATAGTGTTAATAAACAATGAATACAAAAAAATATCTCTTTTTCTTCTAAACTTCACACAAACGATTTCTTTTGGAAATGGCAGTGCTGATTTGTTGAATGTATGTGTGTCTTCGACAAACAACACAAAAGCCGCCACATTCGAACACAGATGAAAACACAACAACACTTCTTACTACTTTCAAATTAATTTTAAATTAAAATAATTAGTGCTTTTTTGGAAAATATTTTTGGCAAATAAGCCGATTCTTTATTTTTTGGACTCGAAGGACCATGTACAAGTTCCAATACCGTCGTATGGACTTGTTGTGGTTCAAATTCTAATGAGTAGATTTTGAGCCGGACACAAAAGTATTCTGGCGATACTTACATTTGTTGTCTGCACAAAAGAAAAAGCACTTTAATAATAATTATTTCAAAGTTAAAATGACTCTGTCGGTCAACTTTTTTATTTATAAAAATTCACAATTTTGCTTGATCTGGCGATCCACTTTTTTGAACTTCAAGAAGAAGAGTGCCAACCAAAACTCCTATGGGGTTGGGTCTATTCCCAACATCAGGTATTAGATAGCGGTGGCATTTTTGAAAAAAAAAATGTTAGCTATCTAAAGGAAAAAGATCAATTCACAAATTCCAAAGGTACTTTTCCTTTTTTTATTTTCTTTTTTTTATTTTAATTGAAAATCCATAAGTTACTGAAGGTAACCATCCTATTCTTGATTTTCTACCTATATTTGGTTTAGAATGATAATGAAATAAAAACGAAATTAATTTCAAATTCTGTATTAAACGGTGAATTAGTAATATAGCATTGTTTTTTACTATTTGAAATAAAAAAATATACAAAATAATATTTTTTTACTGAAATACTATGTGCCGACTACTGGCAAATAGACATACCGAGCATTGGAAAATGGTGCCGACTACTGGCAAAAAACTACTATTTTAGTAAAATTGCAAATTTTGCCAATTTAATAAAAACAAATTCAATTTTTGTTTATTATTTCGAAATTCAATTTTCTAGCAGCATCTGATGTCCGGTACCAAATATCATTCTTCTGGAAGGGTTATTAAGCATGTGAGGAACTTAAAAGCCCAAATCGGATGAAACATATATATGGGAGCTATAATTTAATTTACTTACTTCTACACTGAATTCGGTGGTATGTACCAAAATACAAGTCATTTGGACTTATATCAGCCATTTGCTTTAAAATTAACCCGAAATCGGTTGAAGATATATGGGAGCTATATCTAATTCTGATTCGATTATCGCCAATTTCAATAGGTTTCGTCCTTGGGCCAAACAAATATTGTTTGCAAGATTTAATCTCAATTGAAACGAGAGTAATTGTGTTGGTCTAACAAAGCAGCTTGTATGCATTTTCGGTGAGGAGAGTCGTTTTTGGTTCGACGAAAATTTCATCCAGTTTTAACCCCGCATTAGAAGAACAAAACTTACATGCACACTCATGAAAACAAAATAAATAAAAAAATACTAACACACACAAAGCTGTGTATACGTATTCAATTTAAGACAGTTTTATTAGTTTCGTGTGTTTTGGAAAGCAGAAATTTGTTTGGACTAAAAATTACTCTCGTGTATATTGGGCGAATCGGATAATAATTGCGACGTGCATTTTATTCGCAAGAATACATGGACGGTCGGACGGACTGACATGCCTAAATCGATTCAGAAGTGATTCGATGAAGATCCTCAAAAGTAAATATGGGTATATCTCGCTTCCTTCTCCTAAAAAAAAAAACAAAATCAAAGCAAGATTTCCCCTTACAAGTAACTTCCATCACCCATTTTGTGATAACATGTATATGGTCGGACTTAAATCCGGACAGACCGACACATAATTGATCAATGAAGAAGTCTGTGGAAAAGGGAATGGTACAGGACAGAGAAAAGACTGTATGGAACAGGGTGATGAAGAACGGTGCGGGGAAGGGTGGTGATAGTGGAGGACGGTATGGAATAGGGAGAAGGGGGTGTGGCAAGAAAACTGACCCACATACCAAAAGAACAAAAATTCTCTTTACTTACCAACAAATGCCGGCACATAGAAGAAGCAAAAGTCTGAATGACCACACAAATATATGCTTTTAAAAGCATACGGAGGTCAATAAACTGGGTAAAACTAGACTTAATCAAGGCCAATCTCGACTTAAACTAGGCTAACCTTTACATTCTCCGACAAATGTCGGCACGTGGAGGAAATAAGATCTGAATGGACACACAAACTTATGTTTTTACATACACAATGAGGTCAACAAACTGGGCCAACCTAGACTTAATCAAGACCAATCTCTGAAAAGGTCAAAAAGGTGGCAAAACACATTAAATTAATTAGGTTTGATGCCTTACAAATACTCTACTGACAGGCGTGAATTGTTGCTGAATTTTAAAACACAAGGCAACTTGTTGCATTAAGGCCAAAGTAAACTGGACTCCCTTGGGATTCCGTAACAAAGGAGGACCTATTCAATAAACAAATGTGTGCATATTTCTGCATTTGAAAACATCGTGAAGTAACATCTTCGACAATTAATATACATTGATAACCATCAGCTGTTGGAAGCAGCAGACCATGGCCATTCTTTGTCCTTGGATTCCATCCTTCATTTACTATTCACGTAGTACATAAGACGTTACTTTAGGAAAAATCAGTATGAAAACATTAAAGACATAAAAGAATTTGGTTCATCATCAGCACAATTTTTACGAGATAACATATCTGCCACAGAGTTAAATTATTCTGGGATATATTCCACTCGTAAATTATATTGTTGTATTTAAAACGCCCACCATCTGTAAAAGGTTTTGCTATAATATTCGATACAATGAACAGGCTTGTAAAAAAATTGCAATTTCGGTGTTTTCTTTTGGCTGGTATTGCCTCTATTTTTGCTGGATACACGGCTATGTCATCTGAGATTAAAACATATCTCGCATATTTAACAAAAACAAACCGACATTTCGAGTTATTTGCACGTAACGAGTAAACACCAGACAAATAAGACTTTAAAAAGCTCTATAACGCGTTAAAATGTAGCAGGAACATTTCTGAGTGTATAGAGAATTCTATTGGATTGGTGTAAACCAAATGGGGTTATAAAACATTTTTATCTCCAGCAACATCGAATGTGGCCATAAATGTCACGCATTTATTGGCATGTTATATACTATGTTTGTAATATACCATCCATTCTTGGTAATGGGTAACGATCAGGCTCTGTAAACCCATTCACCTCCATCTCGCTTGGAAACCATTACAACAGGTGAGGCCCAAGGAAATGCAGACTCTTCATATATACCCAATTTCGGTGTTTTCTTTTGGCTGGTATTGCCTCTATTTTTGCTGGATACACGGCTATGTCATCTGAGATTAAAACATAACCCGCATATTTAACAAAAACAAACCGACATTTTGAGTTGTTTGCACGTAACGAGTAAACACCAGACAAATAAGACTTTAAAAAGCTCTATAACGCGTTAAAATGTAGCAGGAACATTTCTGAGTGTATATAGCATTCTTTTGGATTGGTGTAAACCAAATGGGGTTATAAAACATTTTTTTATCTCCAGCAACATCGAATGTGGCCATAAATGTCACGCATTTATTGGCATGTTATATAATATGTTTGTAATATACCATCCATTCTTGATAATGGGTAACGATCAGGCTCTGTAAACCTATTCACCTCCATCTCGCTTGGAAACCATTACAACATGTGAGACCCAAGGAGATGCAGACTCTTCATATATACCCAGATCTAGTGTACGATTAACATCAACTCTATGTTCCTTAGTCTTCACGGAAGATAGTCGATAGTCAAGCATCTACGAAACAAACTTTCAACAGTTATGAGGTGTGTTCAATAAATTTTAATTTTAAGCGCCTGTATTTCTGTATTTGTTTCATTACGACGAAATAAACTGTGATACAAATCTTCAAAAAAAGAAAGAAAAAGAAAACACAATATATGCCTTTGGTTTTTCTGGGTTGCTTCGAAAATTGATTTTATAATGGTAAATTTAGAGAAAATCCGAACTTCATGGATTTTCAAATTTACGCGTGCCTAACTTCTATTTTTAACAACGGATTTCTATTTTGAAAGGGTCGAGTGCTATCTTTAAAACAAATCAAAGAATGTTAAAATAAGCTAACAAATAGCGAAGTGGTTTAAGAGTAAAAACATGCATATAAAACATGAAAACAATTCTACTCTGTAAGGCTGATAATAAACAATAATATTATTTATTTCTGTTAAAAAAATTGTATAAGCTTTCAAAAATCATTAAAATTGTTGAATTGAGAAAAAGACGAGACAATTTTTTTTTTGTGTTTTACTTTTTTGTTCTTTATTTTTAAATACTTTGTATTTCTTTACCTTTCATATAATTCGCTGTCAGAAGCATATTGATTTTATATTTTCTTATGTATCGTTGTTCAACTTTAGATATTTCCTGGTGGATTCTGGAATGATGAACAAGGCGAATCACCCATCTGTCCTAAACTTATTGATATAGTGCAATTTGATAGAAAATCTGAAACCCTTTACCTGGTATGCAGACAACATATTGTTCACTACTATTCCATAATTTTCACTTTTTTGTTTACGAGAAAATTTTCCCATACTAAAATAAAACCATTCCATGCATTTTTTCTTTCGGATTCAATCATCCAGTCTTTCTGAATATAGTGTTTGGAAAAAGTAAATGAAAGGATTGGGTGAGTTTTATGTTGGGGAAGAGAACAATTATGGTTCCTTATTTATTACATTGGAAAATCTGAATGTCGCTTACCAATAACAACAGTTCTGGTTGCAGGTTGGTTTACAAGTGAAGTTTATTAATAAAAAAAAAGCCTTGGATGTTGATGGTCGTGCTGAAATGGACCTAGACTCCGATCGGGACTTAGGAGATGGTGGAAGGATCTGGGCCCGCTGGAGCAGCATTTGGTGATATTTATAACAGGGGCGACAGCCGGTGTCACTGAAACACGAACCTTGGGAATGATCTAGAGCCAAACAATTCAACCAATATTTGTGATTGCGAACCACTGCAAACCGTTCCGTCATATCCATATCCAGGAACTCATGGCATCGACGTAATAAATGGGGACGCTGACAGAGCTGGCACAAGAATTTTCCATTTTGGTTGTAGTTGCTGTAGCAGTAGTTCATGTAAGTGTTTGCGTTATGCTAATCTGGTTTAAGCTCCAGGTTTAAAAATTCGGCTACTTTACAAGAGATCTTCTGGAGTGAGTTGTGTAGGTTTGGCTGTGCAATTAAAGAGGTGCAGCGTATTGTGCGGGCCTGTATCACACGCCGGGCAGACGTCACGCACATCTTCGTCAATTCGTGCCCAATACGAATTGAGATGACTACACCATCCTGAACGTAATTGCACCAAAACTACCCTGGTTGTCTACACAGGGAGTGTCGTCTTTAGGCACTTGAATCTTCTGGCTAATTGAAGGATTACTATAGGGTCAGTGTTAGAAAAAGAAGACAGATCATGTGACACTAGTTCTCCCACTAGCCTGTGTCTCATATTAATGAGTGCTGGGCAGTGGCAGAGCAAGTGTTCGACTGTCTCGATTTCTTCTTCATCTTGACAGATCCTACAGTAGTCAATGTCGTCGCTGTCCCATTTCGAGGTCTTAGCTCTCACCTTACAATGACCTGTGATGATACCCACCACAAGTTTTAAATCAGGTTTTGACAATGACATCAGCGACCTTCTCTTCTCTGAGAGTGTGGGCCAGATTCGTTTGGAGATGGTGCATCCCATTTCGTCCAGCCATTTTTGTTGGATTCTCTCAGAGTAATGTCTGTGAATGACCTGTAGGAAATGGCACTGTGGTGGTTTAACCGAGTTGTCTACTTTAATTGTAGTTGATTCGGATCCTAGTCTGGCCAATTCGTCTGCAGTCTCGTTACCTGGAATGTTATAATGGCCAGGAACCCAACAGAGCTTGATGGACAACCCAGTGTTTTCCAAGGCTTCCCTGCAGTTCAAAACATCCCTAGACTTGATAGTAAAAGAACTTAGGCCTTCAGTGCCGCTTGACTATCGACATATATAGTCACCGGACCGCTGACCTCAGTGCTCCTCGTGACCAGCAGGTCTGTGTGTGTTTTCCAAGCTTGTAGGATTTACGAACATTAAGGGTATCACAGAAGACACCAGAGGCTCAATTCTTGTTCTATGAAAATATGAAATGAAAACTTTTATAAAGGAAGAAAATGTCAAATGAAAAAAATTATAAAGAAAATATTTTTCATTTCATATTTTCATAGAACGAGAATCCACCCCCTGCTCCCGTACCACACTCCATCTTTGAACCGTCGGTATAAACAGCTATGCCGCGGAATGGTGAGTCGTTATGGGCTCAGGCGTCTCTGTCAGGTATGTGTGTCAGGTGGGTAGAAGCTTAAACGTGGTGAAATATAGTCACTTGCATAGGCTATCTCTCCCACATCCCTTTCACGCCTTAGAATCGCAGAATGTCCAAAGGTTTGACTGCGCCATTCACTTAGTTCTCTGAGTCGAAGAGCACTCCTGAATGCCTGTTCCTCCACATGTATGCTCAGCGGACTTAGGCCCTGTAGAGTATCCAGTGCTGCTTGAGGCGTGCTCCTGAAGACACCCGTTATTAGTAGGGATGCGGCTCTTTGAGACTGTGGACGTTGATTTCGTGGCAGATATTTCCATATTCCTCGCGTGGAAGTATTCGGCAAACTCCGCAAGATAAGGGTTCAGCCTTTCACATATATCACCGATCACTGATCGTACAATCATCCGCATGCCGTCTGAAGGGCGAAGAATTCCGGAAAGTTAGGGGTCAAACAGTTTCGGAGATATCACCCTACCTTGGGGAACTGATTATCCAAGTTTCAAACTTGGCTGGAAGGTGGTTTTCTGCACGTCCTCAAACAGTATCAAATGTTCTGTCACACGGCTTGTTCTGGTTCAATCCCTTACTACTATTTACTATTGTGTGAGCTTTCCCGTTGTTAACGAAAGTGCGGCGTTAAGAGGCTATGAAATCGGGCGACGTGCTTATGGGGACGATTATCGGGAGATTATCAATCCAAGAGAAAAGACAGGTTGCCAGGTCACATCATTTATCAGACCGGGTGACACTTGTATTCATTAGGAAAATGAAACTTCTAGTACCATTTGACCAATGAATTTCAGGACACAACTATTTCAGAACTGAAAGCAAACAGAAATTAGAGCGAAGTCGTGGATGTGTTCGGCAGAAGAATCGATGATGGATAGGAATTAAGTCTTCAAGGATAACGGTGGAATCTTCGAAGTATGAACAGTGGATCTTCAGGGGTTTACGTTCGACACATACTTCTTGAATATGAACACTGTCTGGCCACTGACTTGACGATTCCCGAAGCCACGAAGTCCAAACTACCAGAGATAATTGTGAATGATGTCTCGGGGTACCAGACCTCGGCTTGGCAGATCAGCAGGATTTGAGGATAAAGTAGGTGCGTAGCCTTGGTCTTTTCGAAGCAACGCAAAACCCTTAAACTAAACTTCAGCAGAAGGGACGTATTGAAGCCATCTCGGAATTCTGATTGGATCAAGACTTGAATAGTCCAATTGAAACATCTTCCATTGGTGCAAGGTTGTTGGACTTATGACTTCGTCCTAACCAGTACCATCAGACCATATCTGCTGCATTATTATTTTTGCCACAAAAATGGCGAATGTCAGCCAGGAGGATCGAATAATTTGGATATATCATTCAGAATCTCCCTTTTTGTGTAGTTACAGGAAGATGGAAAAAGATGTGCTACTACGTCGAAGTTTAGGAAATCAGCACAAAACAAATGATCATCCAGAATATCCATTAAGTTCGCTGTCCATTTTCGAAGGGAGAATGGAATAGAATGGATTTAAGCTCATTTCTGGATTGAATTGCATTAGAAATTGAATGTTTCTGTGTGAATAATCATGCTTCACTACTTTGAACATCATCAGCTAAACGAAGCAGAGTGCAGACAGCTTAATACGGAGCACAAATGTCACCAAATATTACAGTTTGTAAATCAAAATCTTGAATGGTTTCACCTGGGTGGTTACAGATTATTATTCTTTGGAATGGAGTCCGAATGAACCGGGATTTTACATTACATTTTCCATTTTCTGGATGTCAGCGTTTAACACATATCGGAAAAATCACCATTTGAGAATCAACGTGGTCAAGTCATTCTGCAATACTGGACCAGTATGCAAAACATCGTTGAGACCACACGAAAAAAACTGTATGGTTAGGCATGTAGTAATGGAAGCGATCGTTGTTACAGCTCGGAGCTTGAAGTCATGTGATTTAGTTGTGTATACTCGTCGAGAACCTGGTCATAATATTTCTTGAACTGTGGATTTCGGATTAAGCGACTCTCACTGCGAAGGAATTGTGAGAGAGCGCTTGGGCGGGATAGTCCTTGGCGATCTGTATCGGGAAATCCCTACTTAAAAGGAGAGAGAGACTTGTACGGAATTATCAAATCTTGAACTTAGATTTAAGGAGCAAAGTTTTTGAACGGCAGTGGCGTTATTATGACCGCAAATCTGCACATTTGTACGTTGATATGGAAGTTTTGATTTATTGAGAAATCTCTCTCAGATAAAGATTCCCTGAGAACCGAAATCGAGAACACTTGCTTGGTAAGAGACTCCCAAGTGTAGCACATTTACCAACGCAGTCCCCATTAAAACTCCCCTTGAACTCGCAGAGAGCAAAATTGAATGACTCCGTTCCCAGAACTAGTGGACTGTGAGGAATTAAGAGTGAATGGAACAGAGTTAAGTGGAAGGAAGAGTGGATGAATGGCTATGAACGTGAAGCAATGTGTTGTGTCTTTTTTTAGCACTCAGCAATTGTTTTTGCTTGTACAATTTCGTACATCATGCGTTTTGGAGGAACAATTGAGACACAGACCTTGTTTCTTTACTTCGGATGTGTGTTGCCTTATGTCCATGGCAATGAACATTGGGCACTTCCGAATGATATGTGAAGACTTCGGACACAATGGAAATATCGGAACCGAAACATTAGTCTGGAATGAACTGCATTTTGAACTTTTGGACTGTGAGATGGATTTCCCTTTAATCTCATCAGACTTTGGTTTCGGAAACGGCCTCAAGTGAACGATATCGATTGGTGAGGGAGGAATCAAGGTCTTCCAACTTTAGAATAGCTGCTTTATCAGATAAGCCTTGCTCCCACAGTGTCAGCGTTGAGTCTGAAAAACGATTGGAACAAAGGAATACAAATATCGGATACCAACTTCTGGCATCTATCTTGTACATCGCAAGTGTGTCAATACAGTAATTAATATCACGTTGCATTGACTTATTGAAGCTAGCTGGTTCGTCTTTTATAAAAAGAAGATTGAATAAACTTTTCAGCTGGAACTCTTGATTAGCCAAGAGAGCTCTTTGGACTATATCACGTGCTTCACCTTTGGACTATATCACGTGCTTAGTCTTTTGGGTCAAAGGGAATAAGCGCTCAACTGGACTGAGCCTGGAATTGTTGATGTACACGGCCGTGAACATGTCTCGGAATGTTGGCCATGACATGTAATCTCCATTGAAAACGTCGGTGTCATATTGAGGAAGGTTAAAATAATACTTTAACTTGATGGGGGTGGACAACAGAGTAAGTACATTAAAATGGCAATGATGTGGGCTTG